TAAATAAGTTATATCATCTATCTAATAATGTGTTAACATGCGATTTGTTCTCACAAGTTTTGAATGAAAATTATGCAAAGTTACAAGAAAGGGACGCAATAACATTGTCGAAAAAAAGTGTACGGTTTATATAATTCTTCATTATAATAATTGGCATACCAAATAAATCAAATCAATGGAAAGATAATTATTGATTAGGCATAAATACCAAGCATCCTTTTGGTAGCCTTTATGCCTAATTAATGGAAGAATAAAAAAATTTACGATATTCATTATCATTCATATATATACATAAGAAATTCCAATAAGTTGCTATTATTGTTCTAATAACTAATTCTAAATTTTTATCCATTGTTAAACTCCTTCGACTATTGCTAATTTCTTTGAACCCATTTCCGATGAAGGTTCATCGGTTTGATGGGTTTGTCGCAAGTTCCGAGTTAAAATATGACACCATTCCATCCGTATAATAACGAGGGTAAATGATTAAAATCATTGTGACCCATAAGATCAAACTTCCAACATTTGAGTTTATGATAAGTAAATCCATCAAAAATTTTGACCTTGAAATCCTGAATGTTCTAGTAACCGCGTCAGTGCAAATGATCAAAATTCCGAGGCTTGACATTAAAGTTCCAAATATCAAGTATTTATTCATTTCAATGAAATATTGAATTCGAACGATTGCCCATCGTCCTGATGGCGAACCTTGATTCCGTATATTAGAAAGTAAATTCTTTAGCCTTTTTTCATTTCGAATTCCAAGCAAAAAGATAATAAGTAATTCGATAGCAAATATCAATTGAATAATATTTTCAACGAGTATAATATCATGACTCGCAAGTAATCTCGCCAATGGGAATATAATCATAGAAATAAAGACCCAACTGACATAAAATTTAAATTCCCACGATTTCATAAAAGGTTTGCCTCCTATTTGATCGGCCAAATGACTCCAAAATGTTTGTAAGAGAACCAAAGTACCGGATTGTAAAGCAAAGCTACAGGCTAACATATACTCGGTAATCATCTTTAATATTATATTTTCATTCGACCAAATCTGTACTTTATGACCGTTAACAATAATAAATGCTGGCTTGGGAATTATTATACCCGAGGAAGTATCTACTATGTTACCTTCCTTATATTTTACATATGTCCAAACAATATCAAATACCTAAAGGACAAAATGCGAAACAAAAAAAAAATATATTATTTTCATTTTATTGACCAGATAAAAAAGTTTCAGGAAATTGAATGAACTACTTACAATTTGAGTAGGCAACATCAAGAGAATTAATAACGTTATGTTTGACTTTAAATCGAATTTACGTATTCTATACCATCGTAGACTAGCAAATTTGTCGACTGACCATACCCGCTGGAGAAACCATAACCAAACCCACCCTTCAATAATTGCCCTCTCTAAATGAAATAAGGTCGCTTTTAAGATTCTGAAATTAATTCACAACAAGGTATGAATTTGAAAGACAGGATGCCTTACCAACATATGAGAAATCACTTAAGGTATAGAATACAACCATTTTTTTTTTATTTCTTTTGTCGAAGGAGTTGTTGTTGTCGTTTGTTGTTTATTGACAGTCTCTTGAAATTTCTTGATTTATACGGAATTCCTGTCTTTTTATTGTTTTCGGGCATAATATAAATTTAATAAAACAAAAAGAAAGTGATATTTTTACGTTTAAATATTTAAACGAATTTTTTGATTGATTTTTTCAATGTGATGTGAATAGATACATCAGAACACCTCGCTTTTAATTTATTTATTTGATGGACAGATCGGTAAATTGAGTATTAAGTTTAGTTCTTTTCGCCGACATTTCTATCAAAATCTTTCGGATAATATACAATACTTCTAAAAAAAGACGAATTAAAGTATTATGTAATTTAATATAATTATAAAAGTCAATTACTTTCCAAATTGGATTCATTTTCCCGAGATTTACTCGCATAACGTGGCGATCAGGAAAATCGCGATTTTTGTAGTGATGATTTTTAACGCTTTATTTTCCAGACATGTTGAAAGTATCAAAAGGTTCACAAATAACCGTTTCTTTAAAGATATGATTCCAACTTTTATCATACGAAATTTTAGTAAAATACATGAAGGTACCATTAAAAAATTTTACTTGTTTGAATTGAATCTAAACCAAACTATAGCGATCGATACGTTTTTTTCACAAACGAGCTTTGTGCAACCATAACATGATAGCAGACGAATGAGATTCGATACTTTTTTTTTTTGGATGTAGTTCGAACCTTCCCCCGTATTATGTCATATATCTGCCTTTTTCATATCTTCCGAAAGATCATCAAAATATTGTGCGGTCGTGCGAATCTTCCGCGATATGAACCATATGTTTAATTTACCCTTTTATGAATATGATATCGACACGGTGAGAGATGATTCGATGACAATTGTCTCGATAAGCATTTTCCGAAATATAGGAGCCAGTTAGGAGTTCGAGATTTCCCCTTTTTTTGACCGACCCTCCCATATGTAAAAGCGAAACAAATAAACTAAGACAAGTTTCAAATTTTAACCTTTAAATCCCCGAAATTTTGGTGTTTACAGTTCTCTTTCTAAATCAGCGATAAAATTAAAAAAATTTGCGGAAAATCATGGATCAAAAACATGTGATATAATCTAATAAATGGAGTGGTTACACGAACGAATAATTTAACTTTCATTAAATAAATAAAAACGTAGAAAGATAAATTGACCCAGTTTATTAATACTCTTTGTTCGACATGTGATCATAAAGAAAAGTGGCAGTCGTGTCCTTGGTGATGTTATTCTTCACATTGGAAGAGGTCGACGGATAGTATCACGACTATTATAAAAAAGATGATTTCATTCAAACTACTTTTGACAAATATAATGACTTGGATCTTCGTGAGAATATTTACTTAAATTGGCTAGATTTGCTTGAAAAGTAGTTCCACGTGAACGAACACCGATCATTATTTTAACGCATTTAATTTAGAATAGTTTTAATTAATATTGTTAAATTGAGAATTATTAATGTATTCATTATAATTTCAAATAAAAAATAAAATTTAATTGATTTTATCTCTTTTTCTGAAAATCTTTTCAGATGTGAAGTTTGAATCTCATTAAATTAAGTTTCTTATATCTACCAAATGATTTTCTTTCTTTGTAATTAATCGTAGTTTTGATTCTTTGATATCCAATGTCATATTAAAATGGTGACAATTAAATAAACTTTCAAAGCATTTATAATACAATAGATTCTAATTCTAGCAAACGAGGGCAATATAAATAGAATTCTTCATGTCAAAAATTACCATTTTGTAAAATAGTCGGATAGAATAAACTATTTCATGGTTGCTTTAAGCTAGAAATCCACAAATTGATGGTAAAAATGTCCGCTTGTAATTTAGCATTTCTTCAAACCGTGTAACATTGAAGGATCAAACAATTCATAGAAAAAAAAATAAAGTAATATTTTCTTTTTATTATTCAAATTATTATCTATTGCTTTATGTGTATGATAACCAAATGGAAATTTCTTTGAATTTGTTTTTGATGTATTTGGAAAGATTCTCTGATGATCGTATAAACCAATTTGCAAATTCTAATTAGGTTTTATAACTTTTTAGAGAGTAACGATTCTTAATCCAGCGTTCACGAATTGATCGGTGATATTAAATAAAATGTTTTAATATAACTCTTGCATTTGAAAAACTTACTTTAACCTTTAATATACATGTAAGTTCAAATTACTTTGTAATATATATATAATTCATTATATTTCAATAGTAAAATTGACACTTTGCGTTACATTACATTTAGTTTTACATCCATAAATAGCAGAATTATATGTTATATAATTAACAAAAACTAATTAATTCTAAAATCTAATTCAGATAAGAGTTGTATTTTATAAAAACTTTAAATTAGAAAATTATACCAAGTACTTTTCATTATAATTTATAGTTGAAAATCTGATTTTTTATCATATATATTAAAATTTGAAAATCTATTATTATAAAAATTAATAAAATGGGTCATGGACTAGCAAAAGAGACCTCCGAGGAATTTTTACTTTTTGAGAAAATGAGAATTGAAAATTTGATCGAGTTTATCTAGTTTATCTTTTAGGACAAAATAACGATCAATTTATATTTGAAGGTAATACACATTTTTTTATTTTGTACGACCATGCCTAACTTTAATAATATTGACTATAAAGAAAATAACTCAAACTTTAATTTCGATTGAAACAATATGAAACGAATGAATTTATGCAATATATAACTTAAAACAATTTTTGTTTTATCTAACCGTACTTATCATAATAAAAACGAATGTTTCAAAAAAGTTGGATTTGAAACTTTTCTTGTTAAGACATTTAGAATTTAAAGGTTTAGAAAAAAAAAAAAAAACCGGAATTTGTTTTAATAGGACATTTATTAGCTTTCTTTAATAATAATAACAATAATCAAGAAAATAAAAGCTTTAATTATCAATTTGATTCTAATATTTTTTTGTAAAAATACTTACCTTAAACTTGTTAGCATCAAAAGTAAAAATTTAAATAGCTATTAAACATTATTTATTAACTCATCTGGTAGAATGGCAACATAGAAAACATTCTAAAATATTATCTCATATTTTTATAAATCAAGAATTAGCTATAAAAGTTTATAATTTTATTAATAATTATGTAAATATTTATGGATTTCTTTATCAGATCATCATATATAAACAGATTTTTTAGCAATTATTTTTATTACTAACTGAAGAAAATTATTCTAGGATTTATGAGAATTTTGTTATTATAAGTAAAATATTATATAAATATACATCTATTATATGAATGCTTAGCAGAAAACTACCAAAAATTTTTTACTTTATATGCGAAATATTATTTTTTAGTAAAATAAATCAGATTTAATATTAACTCAAAAATTTTTGGTAGTTTCCTTCCTTTCTATTACAAAGCACTTATATTATATAAAAGTTTTATTAGACTTTGAAAGAATTATATACTACATATTAAATTTCTAACATTAGCTACAAATTAATGTAATATTTGTAAAATACAAAAAAAATACTAACATAATATCAATCTTATTTTTAATATATAAAGCAAATTTTACTAAAGAAAACATTTAAAGTTATTTATAATACTTAAACAGGTCAAAATAAGAATAATCTTTCTTTATTTTTCTACATTTTCAGTAAATACTAAAATATTCTTTTAAAAAATTAGAATTAACATAATAAATAATATTAAATAAATAATAAATAAATCTATCAAAATAAAATTAATTATGATTTATTATAATAAAGGAAATAAGTAGTTTTATTATAATTTTGAATCATTTTTAAAGCATATTTTTAAAGATTTATCAGTTTTCAAAAGTATTAATAATTTTTGTTTAAAAATATAAACTGAAAAAGTATTATTCAAATAAAGATAGAAGGTAATTTTTTTATTTGATATTTTAAAAATAAGAATTTTAATTTCATAACTCTGATTACTATATTATCATTTAAATTTTTATCATTAATATATCAAAAAATTTATATAAAAATATTTAAAATTTATTGATAAATTATTTTAGAATATTACTTTCATAAATCATAAATAAAAATCAATGCAAAATTTTTTTCTTGATATATATCATTTTAATTTTAAATTAATATTCTTTTTTCAAAAAATTTTTTATTTGAATATTTCAATAATTTATTATATTTGTATAATTAAAAAAGTAGATTATTATATAATTAAACATATTTAGTTTATAAAATCAAAAAAATTTGACAGAAGATCTCAAAGATTCCTTTTGCTAGTTTATAATTCAAATATAAAAATAATATAAATTTTTACATTTAATTCATTTAATTAATTATAATTAGTATTTTTTATATTTAATTAAAAAAATATAAATTAGAAATATAATTATAATATTAATAATCCTATTTAGAATTTTCTTTAATTAGAATTTATATATTAATTTAATTATTATAAATTTATTTGTTTTACCTTTTAATTAATTTTTATCTACTAAATTTCCATACTTATTTTTTATAAATAATAATTAAATAATAAAAAAATAAAAAAGATTTTTAAATAAAAATATTATTATTAAAATCATTTTATTAAAATTTTTTAATAAATATAAATATACTTTAATTAAACTTTAGATTATATTTTAAATTAAATTATTTACATATATTTCTTTTTTTAATTTATTTATTTTTATATTTTATATATCTAATTTTTATATTTATTATAATAAACTTTTTTATATAATTTTAAAATATTTTATTAAAAAAAATTATTTTTAAAAAAATATATTATAAAAGTTATAATGATAAATATATTTATAATATTTAATAAAATACTAATTTATTTTTAATTATATACAAAATATTCTAAATATTATATAAATTATAAGATTGACAAATAATATTTTAATATAAAAAATTTCTAATTCTTTAGATTAGATAATAAAAAAGAATAAAGTTAGTATTATAACATTATATACTTATTTATTATTTATTGCAATTTAATTTTTAATAATATAGTAATTAATTATAATATTATAATGCTTATTTATTATCTATTACACCTAATTGAAATAGTATTATTATTAATTAAATTATTATTATTTTAAAAATTAATATTCTTTCTTAAATTTTTTATTTAATATTTTAATTAACTATTTTATTATTTTTTAACTATATTTTATATTATAATATCATATAGTATAAGATAAAAAAAAAAAAAGAAATTTTTTTTGTAAAATAAATATATATATTTTAATCAAATTAAGTCCAATCTAAATAATGTAAAATGAAATAAAATTGTCAAATAAATAAATATTTTTTGTATCACTAACATTAAACTTTTTTTTTTAATTTTTAAAAAATTTTAAAATTATATTAATTAGAAAAATAATAACTTTTAGACAAGAAATTAATTATCAAATAATCTTTATTCAAAATATTAAAGAAATTCTATAAATAAATCAAAATTGCCTTACTACAGTATATGATAATTTTACTAAACTTTAAGAGTCTGAAATGATTTAATATATAAAAGAAAATAATTACTTAAAAAAATTATAGCTAATCAGTCAATAGTATTAGTCTAATTCATTTACTAGGATTCTTCTATTTTAACAAGAATCTTATTAATAAATATATTTTCAATAGGTTTAGATATATCTTATAAGATAGTAGAAAGGTTTTAGCTAAATTAAATATTAAAAAAATTTTTTAAGAGTAATGCTGATGCTGGATGTAGATTATAAATGTAAACAAATAAAATAAGTTTAAAATTATCTTAATGATGATTAAAATAATATTTTATTTACAGATGAAATTACCTTTTAATTATTTTAGAATACTGTAAAATGCTAGTATAAAGAATAATAATCAATATCTATTTATATATAAAAAAAATAAATTTATATTATTTTTTTAAAATAATAAATGCTGAATTTTATAAATATATTTTATAAATACTTTTTAGCAATAAAAGGCTAATTAGAAAAATAAATAATATTTTCAGTAAGATAATGATCAAAAATATATTAGTTATCTTGCTAAAATTTTTCTTTGAGATAATATGTCTGAATTTATTGATTAGGCTTTTAATAGTCTATACTTAAATTTCTTTGAAATATTATCAAAAGAATGTAAAGAAGAAATGTTAAAAAATACTAATAATTTACATTATTTAGTAATTTAAAATAGAATGATATTTTAAAATTAATTTTAATTAGATAATAAAATTAATAAAATACTGATATAAGTTTATTATAGAAAATAATAGTGATTAAATTTCATTCTAATTTTTAACTTTAAAATATATAAATTTTGTATAGTTTGTACTATTATTTGTTATATAATATGTAATTAAATTTTTTTTTGCTTTTTTTGTCTCATACTATATATTTAATATTTTTAATTTTATAAAGTTATTT